CCCAGCTTCCTGCTTAGTAGTGCTGCACAATGTTTGGGTGCACTGCTCCCCTCTCTGTCAGTGGGTTATGTCAGAGGGATTGAAAACAACAGACTTTCTGTGTGGGCGAATATATCTCATCTCAGCAGTCTTTTATATGAAAAAATAAAATCTGTTATATAAACTTTCTCGCCGCCCGTAGGACTCAATTGTCAGAAACTTTGCCTGAAACATATAAGAACAAATAAGCGCTACAAGAGTACGGAGGATATCCAGGACGTGCCCCATGTACAGATCACATTGCGTTTCCCATACAGGGGCTCATCGGGTCAGGCCCAGCCTTCCTCACCTTTGCAGGCCTTCCTGTGGGTGATGGGTTTGGTCATGTCTCGGTAGTATCCCTCCTTGCAGTAGTGGCAGTGGCGGCCGGCGGTGTTGTGGCGGCAGTTCAGGCAGACCCCTCCACTCCGGCGGCCGGACAGCTTGAAGAGCTCCATGTTGAAGCGACAGCGGCGGGCATGCAGGTTACAGTTGCAAGCTGCGGGAAGACAAGAGAGAAGCACGTTAGGCCAAGAGCTAGCAATCTATTCGACTGCTACAGGACACATGGCATTGAAGGAGTAGAGGAACCCATCAACTGGGGGAGGGATTGTTAATTCATCAAATCTTTATTATTTTTATAGGCACATATTAGGGGAAGAAAACAGACAGGTGCTTCATGAAAGGTCGGGCACATAATACTTGCAATCATAAACCATCAATGCAAAGTCAAAATACGTTATAACTGGGAAAACAAAGAAATCTATTCTGCTCAGTTATTCTTATGATCCACTTATCCCAGCCACAGTTCATAGCCAGAAGGGTGACAACTGCAACAAATGTTGGAAAGCCTCCTGGGATAATATTGTGTACGGGACCCAGACTGTCATGAACAGTTAAAAATGTATCGGTCATCTTTTTACAAGAGCGCATACAGCATCAAACTCTGACTGCACGCAAGTGTGACTATTGAACTTCTCTTATCATAAAGCTCAGTGACATATCTCGCCGAGTCTGGAGGGGGAGGAGGTGACTCAGATATCTGTCCCAGGGGTGCTGAACATTTTATCAGTCCCAAATCCCTGGATAATGACACGGGACAAGTGTAGAAGCCTCACTAATGCTGAAGTTCAATGGTTTAAAGATCCCTCTTCAGCTCAAAAAAGGCAATTTTGTCTCGGTGATGTCACTGGTCTCTAGCAATAGGATAGACTGCATTCTCATGAATATGAAGGGTCTCGGTGATGTCACTGGTCTCTAGTGATGGGATAGACTGCATTCTCATGAATATGAAGGGTCTCGGTGATGTCACTGGTCTATAGTGATGGGATAGGCTGCGTTCTCATTAATATAAAGGGTCTTGGTGATGTCACTGGTCTCTAGTGATGGGATAGGCTGCGTTCTCATGAATGTGAAGGGTCTCTGATGTCACTGGTCTCCAGTGATTGGATAGTCTGCATTCTCATGACTATGAAGGGTCTCGTGATGGCCCCGGTCTCTAGTCTGCATTCTCATGAATATGATCCTACATTTGAATTCACCTAGATTTTATCTCATTGTTTCTATCCAGCATCGGTGCACAAAGTGCCAGCATGACACGGACCACTTTTGCCTCCATCCAACGAATGAGGAATGTTGACCTTTCATTTGTCAGTACTCTGTACATGTTCCCTTTCTGCACAACCACTTTTGGAATCAAAGCGATGCACTAACAGGTAAGACCATTGAAAGATTTGTTGTGAAAGTTCCGGTTTGATGCCTAAAGTCCTACAAACAATTTGTCAGGTCAGTGACTGTGAAGGTCCAGCGTCAGGAATTCCTGCTATCAGACACAGTGCTGCTGTCACAACAAGCTGGTGATGGTCGCTCCCTGACAGGGTTAGAAAAGAGCTGTCGAAAACAGGAGGGGCGAAGAGACATGGGGGGGCTTTGCTGGTGATGTGCCGACTGACAGGTTGTCTCAATAAACACAAAGGGTGTTGGAAAGAGGGACGTTCCAGAAAAAGATATTCTTATAGGTGTCGTGGAAGGGGAGATGAAACACTTCACAAGGATAAATTCTTTAGAGGAAACCTAGTGCTACGTTCAAATGTAAGGAGCACTCCGCTGCGTAATTGGGCTTAATGCTCTGATTTGTTGCATTTTAAGATTCTATTTTTAATCATTCATGGATCTTCTTTGGAGGATACTCAAAAGATAAGAACCCTTTTATGTTAGGAAGAAACTATGAGCTTCCCAAAAATAAATAGGTTTGGTCTTGAATTAATAATGGTATTGTTCCCTGTTATCGATATGAAGACAGAATATATTGTCAAACTGATACCTTTTAGTGATTAGCTGAAGATATTAAAGTGACCCCGTGGCCTGTGTATAACACATTGCACAGTGACATCCTGTAAAGTATAAATGATTATTATTATTATTATTATACAGGATTTATATAGCACCAACAGTTTGCGCAGCGCTTTACAATATAAGGAAGACATTACAGTTACAATACAAATCAAGACAAGATCGTAAGGAGGGCCCTGCTCCTGAGGGCTTACAATCTAAAAGGGAAGGGCCAGTGATACATGGGGAGGTAGCTGCGTGGGGATGAATTGATAGAGAATGTGATATTAAAAGGTATTTATGAAGCACTTACACATTACAAAGCGCGTCAGTCCCTACACTCAAGGAGCTTACAATCTAAGGTCCCTTAGATCTCACATGTACACATACAGGGCTGATTTGAACAGGAGCCAATTAACCCACCAGCATGTCTTTAAAGTAGGGATGCACCGATATATTGGCCGCCGAAACATATCGGCCGAAAATGGCACTTTTGGCATAATGCCGAAAGAGCCAAGTTTCGGCCGATACAGCGGCGCATCCCTGGTTTCTTTTCTCCCCGCTGGGCGCTGTTCCAGCGGGAAGAAAAGAAAGTGACAGCCGGCTGAGCTCTGCGGTGGAGAGTGCTGTGAGCGGCCGGTGTCTCCTCCCACACCGCTCTGCCGCCTATCACAGTCCGGCAGAGCGGTGTGGGGGCGGAGACAGCGCTGTCACAGGAGGCTGGGCTTTCCTCTCTACACCGCTCGATCAGCCTCCTGTGACAGTGTGTCAGAGAGAAAAGCAAGGTACACACACTCAGTGATCAGTGATCGCTGAGTGTTTGTACATAATTGAGGACCTGGTATGTTAACTATATCCTCAATTATGAATGAATGGGAGTGACCTACATCACCCCCATTCATTCATAATTGTAGTTATAGTAAACATACCATGTTATCAATGAACAGGAACACTTATAGAGGATTCCTGTTCATTGATAACAGGGGACACAGAAAAAGAGATTGAGGACTCTGTGTTCTCAATCTCTTTTTCTATTTTAAAAGGGAAATATCAGGGGTCTGTTTAGACCCC